CACTAGATATTGATGTATTGCGGTTGGTGATAATAAAAAGGATGCTTTCATTTTACGTCCTCAATATATTATTTCAAATTTAACAAAATTTAGGAAGTGGACTATTGATGTCCATTGTGCGTCGTATAATTTTAAAAAATAAAATTATTTATTGTTGATTATTATTGATTATGCATTTAATATTGCATTACTTTTTGATTGTTGGTGTCCACAGTCAAAAGATTATCGAAGATTAAATAAAGAGTTCAGTTGTGAATTCCCTGTAGTTTACCCAGATCGGTATATGGCTTTACAGGTAGATGCCAATCAAGGTAAACAGGTAGACTGTTTTCGTTCCAATGTGTACAACAACAACAACCAAAAACTAACGCCAAAGAATTCAACACTAAAGATGAGTTTATAAAAATATGTGATAGAGTAAAATAAATTTTTGCACACACACACACACAAACATATATATATATATTTATATATATGCATATATGTATATACTTATGAATAAGGTATATTTCGGCAGTAAGTATGCAACTATCATGTTTGATTAAAAAGATCAGACACGCCCTGTCTGATGTTTTTAATCATGATTAATTGCAATTTTCTCATTAATATTAATTGTATTTTCGAATAAATTTTCGTAACTTTATATAAATGAAAAAATTGAAAATAATGATAACACTACATCCCAGAAATCTATATAGGTAAAATATATATATATATATATATATATATATATATATATATATATATATATATATATATATATATATATGTGTGTGTGTGTGTGTGTGTGTGTGTGTGTGTGTATATATATATATATTACACCTATTTCTCTCTCTCTCTCTCTCTGTATATATATATATATATATATATATATATATATATATATATATTATATATCTTTGAATAAGTTTTGTCTTTTGATATTTCGCCCACACCCTGTCCTGCCAACTCCTTGCCTCTATTCCTCTTACCCTCAATCTGTACTTTGAGTATCGGGTTTTGCAAACTATGGCCAAATAGTTAACCCCAAAATAGGGTCATAACACTATGAAAGTGTAAAAAATAGGTTTTAATACCATCTATACATTTTTGTAAAAAATCGTTACCAGCAATAGATTTTTGAAGGAACAATTATTACCAGCAATACATTTTTGAAAATACATATTTTATCGGCATTAAATAAATCATTGAAGCTGTTATGCCGTAAAACAAAACAAGCCAAACCAAACATGAAGCTTTACTATTTTCATGATAATTGCTATTATAAGGTTTTCTCTTGGGTACATCAAATTTATATTTTTAAGCGCAGTAGTAGATTAGCAGCTAGGTCTCAACCATTTATAGTTGAAATTGCTATATAAGTTCTAATGCTAACAGTATTTTCTCACGTACTTATCGCATAAGGAAGTCTCGGCTTCTTGCGTTCCAGTCAACCTTGATCTTCAAATGTTTAAATGCAATTCCACTCGACAAATTAATTGTCTGGGAGTCATGTCCTTTTATTGTCCTCACGTCTTAAGATATTTTTTTTCAGATTTTTTTCACTCGCAGAAAACCCCATATAACTGTGCGTTTAATTGCTTTACTTACCTGCAGTATTAGTGTCAGTCGTTGATTGTACATGTTGATGCAGCATTGGGTTTCCTACAAAGGACTTGTCGACAGAATACTAGATTCGGGAGACAACACACACACACACACAAACACACACAACAACAACAAAATATGACCAAATGTAATTTTTCTTTTTTGGTACAGGTTTCTTTGTTGTTACGTGATATTTTCACGCTTCTTCGTATTATTATGATAAAAATTACAATTCTTCTGTCTCTTAATTAGGATGGGACTGAATTCATACCCGTTATTATCCACGACACGGTTCAACGCTTCTGGTAAGCCGATGTATAGGGTTAGGCACAATTGTGCACCACAGTGACAATTTATTAAGAGTGTAATTACACATAGAGGAGGACATAGACGATGAAGTAATGGATAGCCGCACGGATTGAGGAATCGGAGAGCCGAGTTCGAATTCCAGTCGAATTCATTACATTCACTTACGTACTAATATCCTTGGGAAAGGTATGAATCCTCTTCTTCCCCCACCAACAGGAGGAGAAGAAAAATAGCAGGACAGACCGGGTTCTCTAGACTTGGGTGGCAACCTGTCTACCGCAGAAAGAAATAGCAGCCTACTTCGGGAAAAAATTCTGCCTCGTCAGTTATGTATCGAAAGATACATGACCGCCTAAGCGTGTATCACGCATAGCACATAACTGACTGAATTACACATAAATATATTATTTACTATTGATTTAATTGTTATATGTGCTTTATAGAATGTCCTTTTCATAAGGACGTCGAGGAGATTCTTCTGTCATTTTACTGCATACATATTCAATTCTTTCTTTAAGTTCCTCAATATTTCTTTGATGACTCTGGTAAACAACTGATTACAAATAGCCCTACAGATAAAAATTCAAGAGTGTGAGGTCTGTTGGCGTCGGTTGCTACTCACAAGGACATCTTCGACCTATTAATTAATCCCTATTAATTTCGTCTATTAATTAATCCCATTTAATCTTATTAATCCTGACTTTTGCCTCATCTTGTATATCTTCGTACTTTTTGTTTTAAGAACTGGTCTTACGACTTAAGCAGTTTTACTAAGTCGTTTCCTCCATGCCTTTATAAATCTACGTATACTAGTTTCATTATTCTGTTAAACCTTTCACAGCAAGCGTTGTATTATCGTCCAGCGGTACGTTTAACTTCATGTCGTCTAGTACCCAATGAGGATTCAAGTACACCTGAATGAAACCCAAGAGATAACTCGGTTTGGTCATCAAGTATGAAGTTATTTTTTACCCTGAAATTTTACAGACTTTTAATTATTTATTTTTGTCAACTGATAATTCGACTGCCGGATATTGGCCTAACGTTGATCTTCTTTGCTGGCCCTGAACTGACTTTACCCGCCTAATTAAAATTTCATCCTTCTCACTTGGCTTTAAGAAAGCACTGCTGATTTGTGCATTCAAACGAGTGTATTGTAGAGAAATCGGTTGAATGCACACTGCAGCAAATGAAATGGGCATTCACAGTGAAATCAGTGAATGAGCATGCGCAATGAAATCATTGAATGAGCATGCGCAATGAAAACATTGAACGAACATGCGCATTAAAATGAAGAATGACTGACATCGATGTACACTTAAATAAAAACAGAAGGCAAATTGAATAACACTGTAAAAGTTAACCAAATCAGTTGTTTTCGACGAGGAAAAAAAAAGTGTTTCCGCGTGGCCTATAGCTCATATTTACTTTCACAAGAATCAACTGGTCAATCGCGAATTCGACATGAAACCAAATTTAAACAAATCATGATCCACTGGACGACAGAAGAAAATAATAATAAATCCTATTAGAAATTATATCAATAATAAAATATATGCAATTTGCACACACGCACGCAAACACACACACACACACACACACACACACACACACACACACACATATATATATATATATATATATAGATTTTGAGAGAGAGAGAGACAGAGATAGAGAGAGAAACAGACAGACAGAGGGAGAAATTTCATCGGTTGAATCTAAATAGTGTTTGTTGATATATAAAATTATACATAATTATATATCGTTATACGATATACATAGCTATAAAATAAATGCGAATGCAGTGTGTCACGCTTTTTAAACTTTACTCCTAGAGGCCATAATGCAACATATCCGACCATTTTTCTTGTCTGTTCGACACCGTGAACAAATAAAAAATATTTTTGGCCGGATCTCGAAATCACTTATGAAATTTTGGACTTATTTATTTTCTTTATTACGATTGTTTTTTTTTGAACTGATTTACGTGATTTTTCTAGTTTAAAATTTTTCTAAAATGCTAACAATTTTTATAACTTGGAAATAAATTTGGGAATAACAGAAATTAATTGCAAAATCCAGTGAAAATCACCCATAAAATAAAAATAATTGCTTATACAGAAATTAAGGACTTACGTACACCAAATTGTCTTTAAATTAATTGGCGACAGAAGAATAATTGTTTAACTTTAAAGACGTAAACGTGAATATTCATGCAATACTTAAATGCAGCGACCATTTTTGAGCTGCAGTTTATTCTTGTTTATTGCATCTTTAAAATTAAAGAAAATCTGTAGGAACCACGGTGGCGTATAACGTATATCGGATCGGATTGAGGAATTGAGAACCGAGTTCGAATTCCATTATCGAATCCATTTAATTCAAATTACGTGGTATTACCATCTATGGGTAAATAGACCCAGTTCTGTATATTTGGATGACAACTTGTCTACCGCAGAAAGAAATGGCAACCTACTGCGGGAAAAATCTGCCTCGTCAGTCATGTATCAAAAGATACATGATCACCTAATGTGCATCACGAAAACACATAACTATTTAATGACTTAATTGCGTTTAATTGATTGATTAACTATTGTTTGAATGATTTGAATCCCTGATTTGATTTTTCACTTTAAATGCATCTTTTAGGGCGGCTTTTTTGATAAATATATATATATATATATATATATATATATATATATATATATATATATATGAATTACCATTCAAGAAAAAGATTGTCAGTTCAGCGTAGCGGCAAGATTAACTAAACAATGTTCAACTGACAATCTAGACAAGTATATTTTTCTATATTCTTATTTTTATTTCCTCATTATTGCCAAATACCTGTTTCAAAAAAGCAGCAAATAAGTAAAGAAAAAATGTAAATAAATGTATAAAAATAGAAGCAAAAATGATGTCAATAAATCAAGAAGACGGGAAAAACAGTAAGTATAAAATAGCTGTTCAGTATATGAAAATCATCTTTAACAAGCAATTATCTTCTCTCAATCGTTGTCTCATATATTTCGTCTAGTTTCTCCCACTTTCCCGATATTAATAGTTCTTACGTTCATTAATTCTTTCTTTCTTTTCCTATTTAGGCCCTCTTTTACAGTTTGTATACGTTCTTTCTTTTCTTCTTTCTTTTCTTATTCTTCCCGTTTCATTTCTCACGTGACCTTTTTTTCTTTATCCTCGTTTCACAGATTTTTCATATTTTCTTCCTTTCTTTTTCTTTCTTTCTTTCTTTCTTTTTTTCTTTCTTTCTTTCTTTCTTTGTTTCTTATTCCATTTGCTTATGTTGGAATATGTTGTTTTATAAAATATATTTATTAATATATTTTCTCTCTTTCTTTCTTTGCCTTTCGCGCTTAAAAAATCTTTTATTCATTCATTGTATTTCACTCTCCCTTGCTTCCTTTCGTCCTATTTCTTTCTTCTTTTTTCCTGTTTTTTTTTTTCATAATTTTTTTTTAACAAATTTTTCAACTTTTTTTTTTTTATTTTTCCTTGAATTTTTATTTCTTTTTTTCTTTCTTTCAAAAAGTTAA